GTCATCACTCCTGTATACTTAAGACTTTGCTCCGCCGTGACGTCACGCAGTTGTTCTCCGAGAGCAGTGAGGCGCTGCCGGCGCTGGGAGGGCTCCCGCTCTTCTCCCGTATCTGGCTTTCGTCTAAACCCTCTTTTCAGCATCTTTTGTGCATTTTTGTAAATGGGGGTGTGCCGGGGAACGAATCCTTGCTGCCTCTCAGTACATCGACTTTTGGCCCCAGTAGCCAGCCCTTGGTGAAGGTGGGCTTGGTATTTCCTGGGCGACCGAGAAAGGCATTTCATGTCCCTGCCGGGTGTGAGCTGACTCGTGAGCGCAATAGCAATGGACAAATTACATGTCTAATAAAAGCAAACAGTTTTCCAGATGACTTAGGACCAGTATCTTCAGTGGCGGGATAAAGCTAAGCTGGCTGTCACTAGCGAACCGCAGGGTACATTTGTCCTAGGCTTTTGCAGGACTGCAAGTTAAAATTGCAGGAGTGTGTAGTACCGGGCTGGCTGATCCACCTGACTCGGATAATTTAGGTGTTTGAAAAAACGTTTTCGGGTTTAGCCTAATCATAAAAACACTTTAGAAGTTACAGCAGTGGCCTCCTGAACTCAGACTGGTTTCCTGTTGCTATCAGACTTGGGTCAGAGCTCGGAGAGTTTATTTCTGCTAGGAGGGGTTCTGCTAACAGGTTCATGTTTGTTGACGTTTGGAAGTGGGAGGTGTAGCTTAGCTACAGAAACTGGGTGCTGAGCAAGCCAGGTGGCCTCAGAGATTTGTCACCTTCCTCAGTCCTCCCAGGTAATCTTTAGACTGGTCACAGTGGGGAATAAAGTAATAGTAATTCCTGGAGCAGCCTCCTCTTCCCAGCTCTTAGGTGGTTCTTTGATCAGTGGAGTGACATACCACTTTGCATGCAAGTGGAATAAATGACACGTTTTTTAAAAACTAGAAAAAGTGACTCAGCACAATCAACAGAGATCACAACAATTCAAAATTACTCTTCTCAGCTGGCAGACAGAACAGGCGAAAAATCCAATGTCTCTTTGTAAATGTGAGCAAAGATTGTATTTCAGAAAGGAGGCAAGCATCCTGTGGCAGTCACTGAGTGACTTACTACAGATGGCATGATTAAATTTTCATTATTCGATGTTGTAAAGTCTGCTGGGGAATGGAAAACTTAAGAATCAGTAGAAAAAGTGTTATATGGAAGGGAATAAGCCTGCCATTCATCTCCAGCTAAATGAAAGTACACCATTCACAAAAAGGGGGAGAATTGTGCCATTTTCTTCACTTCAGAAACCTAACACACTGATAGAAAACTGCCTTTACCATTGCGGGTACCTAAAAGACCGTACTTATCAAGAGTTTTTGTCCTGATGCTTTCTTTTGATTTAAAGGCAAGAACTGTTGCTGCTTCTCTGATAAAGCCTGTAGTAGCTGAGTGGTGCTGGTACAACCATCGCCAGTCCGGTTTAGCATCATTATAAGGTATTGAGAGCTAAGGGACTTCATTCACTGGCAACCTCTCCGCTTTTTTGCCTTGCGCTGATGTGTGTTAGCTAAGAGAAACATTTATGCTTAAAGGACTTCTCTGTAATTTTCTTTTGTAATTTAATCTTTAATAATTACGTCAAAACTTCAAGTATATGCAAAATTTTCTTCTTCTAAGACTATGCTAATACTTTAGGATTTTAAAATCCTTTCAGATACAGATGCAAATCCCATTTCTCTTACATTATCCAATTGCAACTTCTAGTAATGATAAGATGGCAGAATACTATCTGTCCTACACACTATGCAAAAGTAGTTTCATGTAGTTGTAAATTCTTTAAGATTTTAATCTTCAGCTGCAGATTATGGACATACCCACCTTGTGGGACCATTTTTACGAAGTCTGGCTTAGCAATACAAAACAACTCCTGTTACATAGAAACTCTCTTGGCAAACAAGGAAACGTGATTGCACAGCCCGAAAATCAAATGTTAACTTACTGTAGCGTGTTTGTTGTTCAGTATGGCACAGGACAGCTGGGCGCAGGTATTCATTCTTAGTTCCTTACTTGTAAAGGGTGGTACCTCCCAGTGTTAGTATCGGCATTGTCAGCTGCAAATGAAGATATGCTGTCAGATTTCATACTGTTTTTAATACTTTTGATATTTTAAATATTTCTTCCTAAACAGTATTAGGTGAATTATCCAAGGCTGCTTATTGTTAATTGTGCAGTGAAGTACTTTTGACAGAACATTAATATTTCCAGAGCTTAGGTATGAACAGACACAGAGGCACATCCTTTTCTACCAAGTCTCCAAGTGTTTTTTTTAGTTGGGGGAAAAAAAAAAAGTGAGTGTATTACTGATGGAAGATGAATCCTTCATGTGTCATTTTAATTACAGGGGAAACATGGAAAGCAAAATTATTTGTTGCATCCAGTGCTTTATATGAATCACAACAGACTGAGCTTTTGTACTTCGGCATCTGCTGTTTCATATTTTAACATCTTTGCAATAAAACCTTTATTTCCAAAAAGGCTGTCCTTAAAAGCTATTCCAGCCTAGATTCTCTGATCCACGCTGTTTGCGTGGATCAAACTTGAGAAACTGTGAAACGTCTGCCGAGACTACTGTAAGCCCCGTTGCAGCATTGCTGCCTGGTCCCTGCTTCCCCATGCAAAATAACGACTCCTTTTGTTCTTAGAAATGCCATACCTCTTCTTCCTTTAAAAAACACGTCTAGCCTGATGCCATGACATCATTCCCACAGGCTGTCATCATAGTGATGCTGATAAGGCTTGGCTGGTGGAGAGTGTGAAGCTTCAGTCTTAGCTCAGGATCACCCGGCCCTGCAGCTGTGTTGCAGGGATAGCCAGGGGGACTGTCCCTTGCAGGCTGTGGACTTCCTCCAGCGAGGGGTTGTTAAGGTTAGATGAAAATTGCTGTGAGTTGTAATGAAGCCGCCACCTCAAAATTTTATGGTTGCTTAAAGAAGATCTGGCTCATACAGTAGTCACTGAACAATTTTAATAAAATATATTAGTACCCATATGCAGCAAGGGTTTGGTCCCTATATAGATTTTTTTTTTCCTTCTCTTTTTTCATTTGTTGTTTCCAAATCTCAGCTACAAATGTAAAAGCAGAAGCCTGGAAGAATAACAGCAGGCAAAGTCTGAAATCATGGATTTGGCTGTACGTTTGTGTTTTGGGCATGTGGTCTCTGTACAACCCAAAAGAACCCTTTCTTCCTCAGGTTTCAGGTTAGCTTTTACGATTTCAGGTTGAATTTTACATTGAAGATAATATTTTATTCCTTGGTATTGCCCTAATTCCTTGACTGAGCCAATGTAGTGCAAAAAAAATGTATAAAATAATGCACGCACCTGTGAATTACGGGGGTGGGTAATGACCTGGGGCAGCATTGTGTATGTTATGTGGATTTTGTGAGTTATTTGCATGGTCAGAAATGACAAGTGCTCTGGGAAGATGTGGAAAGGAGTGAGCAGAGCGAGGACGGATCTCCTTCAGAGCTGTGCCTTGTTCATGAATCACTCGTCCTCCTTTTTCTCTTCCCAGGTGCTGTGCTCTCTTTTGCTTGCCGTGACTCCTGCCAAGCATGGTGCCAGATCATCAATGTGTCTGAATCCGGCTCTTCTCTCCTTGCCTCTATGGACGGGACTCTCAATGAAACAAACCGGAGCATTTCCACACCTGCTGGAAGCAAATATCGCCTCTACATTGGCTTGGCTTTGGCAATAGGTTCCAGTATCTTTATTGGTTCTAGTTTCATACTGAAGAAGAAAGGACTTTTGAAACTGGCAGACAAAGGGGTCCCCCGAGCTGGTAAGCGCTGGTGCCGGCCTTGCTCCTGCTGGGAACACAAACGCCTCTCTTATAACTCAGCAAAATCAAAGTTTGAGTCACATATCACGCGTTTAAAACTGTCATAGTTGAAAACCGTCATACTTCAACAGTGATCAGAAGTCCTGTCTTGATTAGGGATGGAAATACGGTGTGATTACAGTGACTGAGATTTCAGAATTCTTGGGGCTGTGGTGGCAGCAGTCGGTATTAAATACAGTGAGCTGGTGATATTTCCTCCCTGACAGCAGTTAGATACCAAATAAAGTTTTCCCTTTGTCTTACCCTTCAAAACACCTTTCCGTCTCTTTTTTGCCATCTTTCCCCCCACACACACTTGAGATGGAAAGACGCTAACTAGGTTTAGTTCTTTTTTAAAAAAAGGAAGTGCAATGAGCTGTAAAAAGGATACTTATTACAAAGGTTTCTGCAGTTAGTACAACTATTCTTTTATCAAAGTCAACAGATGAAGAGCTAGAAAAATGTGGAGAGCTTTTAAAAAACCCATTGGTCTAATCTCATAATTCCTTTTGCATGGATTTAAATATATAGCATTAGCAGTTCTTCTTTTGTTTGTTGTGTTTTTTGCAATATACTCTTCCAGAGAATTTGCTTATTTGAAAAAAAAAGTGTTACTGAATGTTCAATATACTTATGTTTTATGTAAAAAAAATTAAAGCATGCAGTGGTGTTTTTCTTTCTAATTTCTCTCAATTTAAAGTATAAACAGAGTCAAAATGCAGCTGACTGTGTGTGAATATATTGGATCTGACCTGAGAAAGCACTTTGAAGCATGTCTTAAGCTCACCAACAATCTTCATGGACATTTTACTTTTGCTTGGAACTTTCTCTTTAGTCAAATACTGTTTTTCAGAAGTCCAAGTCACAAAGCCGTAGAGCGATTAATAAAAATGTCAGTCAAAATCAAATGAAATGTCATCCAGATGACATGCTCTTTCAGTACTTTATATGACTAGAGGCAAATGTGAAGCTGTAGTTTGGTTTATTGTAATAAGGTGATCTCTTTCTTCTAAGATGAAATTATTTTTTCTGCTTTCAGGACAAGGTGGATATTCTTATTTGAAGGAATGGCTTTGGTGGGCTGGATTGCTATCGAGTAAGTCACCTCTTTCCTCTCAAACTGTATGTAAATGCTACATACATCAGATTGTTTTAAATAGATTTATTCCCTGATTTTTCACTCCCCTCATTTAAAAGAAATGTCTTTGCAATCACCTTTATGACAGAAGCTGTTCTGATATCCCATCTCTCAAATACTGTGTTTGCCCTTGGGAGCTCTTTGCAGAATAACAACCTTTTCTTTAATATCCAGTCAAAAGCGATGGGATTGAATCTGTCCAGCTTCTAGGAGTACTTAGGGGAAAAGTATTTAACTTTCTTCAGCCTTTATTAAGTCCAGAGGAGGTTAGATAATTTTGAAAGGAAAATTTGCATATATAGTGTAGAAAAAAGATTTTGGTTTATATTTGGTATCATAGCTATCATACAAAATATTTATAATAGTATGCCTTTTATTCCGCCCCTTCAACCTGATCCAAATGTTCTTTCTTCTGCAGTGGGATTAGGAGAAGCTGCAAACTTTGCTGCCTATGCCTTTGCACCTGCAACCTTAGTTACCCCCTTGGGTGCACTGAGTGTTCTCATAAGGTTAGTACAAACTGGAAGCAAACTTTGGCAAATTAACCATTCACTGCATGGGGGAAAAACAATGTCTTTGCCTGAAAGTAGAGAATTTTAGTAAGAAAACTGAAAAGCAATATATTGACAAAAAATGCTTTGGATTCCTTGGTGGAAAGATCCCTTGCTTATTTAGAACTGAATTTTCTGGGTAGAGGGAATGAGAAATCTTGTTCCAAAGAATAATACATGCTTTCCCTAAAACCTTCTACCTACACGATAAAGTATTTCTTATCAGCGTATGCCAGGTATACTGCTGATGCATGGTGGTAGAAGGCTGTAATTCATCTCTTCCTAGAGAACTGAAGCTTTCTTAAAAAGTCTAACCCTGTTCTTCAGTTGTGACAAAACTTTAAAAGAAATTACAGTATTCCCCCATTAAAATGTTTTCAAAAACATTTCTTTTTTATAGGAGCATAATTTCATATTAAGGCACACTTAGTAAGCATTTTGGGTTTGTTTGGTCTTTTCCAAGTTCTTCTGGAAAGAAGGCAAAGAAAATTCTAGCTTTTGTAATATCCACAGTTAAAACTTGTGGTTCTTTTGAAATATGAATGCCCTTCAAACACTCATTATTTCCTATGTATGAAGAAACAAATAATTTCCAAATACTTAAGCACATACATTAATATGGCTATCACAGAAGCAGAAAAGATACGGATTATGCTTACAACAAACATTCTGGCAAATAATTTATTAGCAAAATGGAATTATTGTATTTTAAATGTAAAACTCTTATTTTTAGGACCTGAGTATACTATATGAAACATTGTGTTTAAAACCAACCTGGGCCACGTTTTTTGTTTGTTTGTTTGTTTTTAAAAAGATGCTTGCAGTAATCTAACTTCTAAAAATGCAGCCATTCTGTCATAGCAAAACCAGTGTAACTCTGTCACCTACAGATGTGCTGGGACCAGCGTGTAGGTAGACACAGACTAACTGGCTGCCTGGCTGCTGCTTCTCAAAAGCCTGATTTTTAACACCCTCTCCTTTGATGTGGATAGCTATCTTTCCAATTTTCATGAAACAGAGAGGTCGTGAGAACTTCCTGTCAGTGAGCTCGTTACCCTTCTGAGAAAAAATAGTTGTAATTTGATCAGTGGGTTGAAAAACTCTTCGTGAGCATGTCCACGCACTGTTAAGCCTGTGTCTGTACCTAAGGTTGTACTCTAGCTGGCTGATCGTGTGCCCTGTGAGGTGGCCTCATTTGGGCCATGTTATTATCCGCAGGTTAAATCTTGAGCCCCTTGGAAGGCCTGGGGTCAGTCCTCTCCGAAGGGGGAGATGTGCCTTCTCTGGGTTTTTGGGGGAGTCCTGGCAAGCCAGGCAGAAACTTCGCCTGGGTGGGAGAGCCCGGGGAGGGATGAGGAGGAACAGTTTCCAAAACTTGTGTGCGTTGGTTCTAATGGCAAATAAAGTTCTTTATTTTTGGAGGAAAATAATAGCTCGTGTGGTCAATCTACAGATGTGTGAGAGTGCATACCCCTGACCCAGGCATTCAGTAATGAGAAGTTCCTTGAGCGATTCAGACCCTTTACAACCTGGAGGGGAGGGATCAGGGTTGCTAACCCCCCTAAAACCTGACCTGACCTTCTTGGTACTGACCAGCCTTCCTGCAAAACTCCTTGAAATTTGATTGTTTCAGGCTGGTTTCCCATATATCCAAAATCAAACGAGGTTTTGAATTACTATCATTTTACGCAGAAAGATTTTGAATGTCTTGCGTGGCTGGTGGAGCTGAACCTTTTATTTATATTTTGCGAACAGTGCTATATTGTCATCCTATTTTTTAAATGAGAAGCTGAATATTCATGGAAAGCTGGGCTGTGTACTGAGCATTTTGGGTTCAACGGTCATGGTTATTCATGCCCCTGAAGAGGAGGAGGTCACCTCACTAGATGAGATGGAAAGAAAGCTACAAGATCCAGGTCTGTATGTAATTGCAATGAACTTGTGCAACAGGTGATAGAGAAGTGTTCGGGACGCTGAATGACTTTTAGCGTGTATTTGGACGTAGTCTGGTATTTTCTCTCATGCGCATTACTCTTCTTCCCTTTCCTCTTTCTTACAGCATTTGTTACGTTTGCTGTTCTCCTGACAGTTGTTGCCCTCGTGCTGATTTTTATCGTGGCTCCAAGGAGAGGTCGGACAAATATACTGATCTACATTTTAATTTGCTCACTCATTGGTGCCTTCTCTGTCTCATCTGTGAAAGGTCTGGGCATTGCCATTAAACAAGTGCTGGAGCGGAAGCCAGTTTATCGACATCCATTGGTTTACGTTTTGGTGGGCATCTTAGTGTTCTCAGTCAGCACTCAGATCAACTATCTCAACAAAGCGTTGGACGTGTTCAATACATCTCTAGTGACACCTATTTATTACGTGTGTTTCACCACGACGGTTGTGACATGCTCCATCATCCTGTTCAAGGAGTGGAGTAGTATGGACCTGGGTGATATCATTGGAACCCTGAGTGGATTCTGCAGTATCATCATAGGCATTTTTCTATTGCACGCTTTCAAAAATACTAATATCACCTGGAGCCAGCTGATGTCTACTGTTGCCAAAGAACCATCGTTACCACACCGTGAATATGAAACCTGTCACACTTTACTGGAGAGCATGGAAGACCCAGCTTTGGCATACGAGGAGGACAACGTTTTATTCAGTCAATGAAACTCTCAAGCAGTGCTCATCATCGAAGTATCATGAATTGCAGACTCAGCCCACCTGTGTCTACCAGAATGCTCTTCTTTTCTGCAATCCGCTGGAAAACCGTCTATAAGGCCAGTTAAGCGTGGGCCACTCCTCTGTGCCAGCTGTTGGTAGTAATGAACGAAAATGTTCAATAATTAACATGACAGACAGAAACCTGACGGTGATTGTATGTCAGGCAATGAACGACCTTGTCCTTTTTTTATGCAGCATCTCCTATTGGAGAATTTTAGCAGAAAAGAATGGTCTTTGTAAGCTATGTTTACAAAGTGCAGTTTTCCCATCATGATAAAAGATAATCCTTGTGCTGTTACCTAAGTGATGGCCTTAATATTTCAGGCTTTCTTTATATTTTTATAATTTATTGCCAAGCAAACTTGTAGATAGTGTCCCTGAAGGATATTCGCTGGAGATATAATATGAAGAAAATATTCTTTAACCCTTTTAGCTTTTAATATAAAATTTTATGCAAGTTTTTTTCATTTTTGATGACCTACCAATGAATCTTGATTAGAAGTCACCAAAAAATTTATGAAATGTGGTTCTTGGTAACCATTCTCGTTCAAAATTCATTTTTTAACAGCAAAATCCTAGCTCTTCTACCCTAGGAGTCCTGAATGGATTACAAATCCCTGGATGTGCATGTACCTTTTTATTTCAAAACTATGACCAAGTTACATTTTAAGAAAAAGCAAATTCATTAGAGGCCTGAACACAGTTGCTGTTGGCTTAAAAAATTATGTGAGATAAAAGAATAAATTATTCAAAGGCAGAAGAAAACCATGTGCATTTAAGAATTTTCACTCTGTTTTATACTTTGAGGCTTAAGAAGGGGCTTTACTTATTTCTGTACTTCTTCCTAGTATTGCCATCTATTCTTCAAAACCCATTTAAGCTTTTCAAAATTTTTTCTCATTTTCTGGAAAGATATCATTGTTTCTTTAATAGCAAAACAGTCCTGTTATTTTATATTCCATTATAAAAGCAAAATCCATTTTCCAATCCATGCACTATTTCTAAAAATACTAGGTAAAGGAAGGGCTGTAAATAAGGGGTGAGAAACATCAAAACATCTTTTGTTTTAGTTTGGCCTTTTCATCTTTTCTAAAAATGAGTATTCACCTCTATTAGATGTTTTAGCTATTAACCTACCATAGGTCTTGAAGATTAGTATCTGTACCACAGTATGCTCCTTAGTTGTGGTCACTGATTTTTATCTCACAAAAACAGCTTGCACAGTCCATGGTTTACTCATTACAATCCCCTTTGTTGCCACTTTGTGACCAAGAAAGTAGCTTCAGCAATCAGATGTGTGGTCATGACGAGCTCATCAGAAAGGTAGTATTCCAAATTCTCAGGTTTTTAAGTGTGAGTCCAGAACCTTTGCCAGAGGATGCTAGCATTTCAGCAGTTTAAAATTGTTTTTAATCAGCTGAGATTTATACGCCCAGCAAAACCTCCTCATGAAGCAGGCTGTATATTCTCTAACGTGCAAAGAGTGTAGTAAAAGTGGACACTTTGGATGGATAGCGAATTGTTCCATGAAAGCAAGCTCATAATTTAGCTGTAAAAACTAAAGTGTTGCTACTGATATTTCATACATGTTTGTGTTGTACAAAGTTTAAGTACTTCCTTTTTGAAAGACATTCATGAAACATCTCACTTGTTATGATTTTTAATGGTGCTTTAGAAGCTATCAAAAACTAGAAAGTAACACTAGGGATACTAGCTTAAAGTTACTTCTAAATGACACGCACCTTTTTTTTTTCTCTTGGATAGGTTTGTAGTTGACATACCTATAGGAAGAGGTAGAAATTGTATCAATCACCTGCATCTTATTTCTAAACCCTCATTTTTACAATGAAGAGCGTATCCGAAAAACACGATGCTGAAAAGTGAGTCTGGTTCTTCTGCTCACAGTACTTTATAAAAGATTGCAGGTAATCTTGCCGATGTAAAGAGAAGCCCAGAAGATGTCATTAGGCAATGGGTATTCAGGTTATCACTTGTGATTACCTACTTTGAGAATACGTTCAATAGTGCAGGCAGCAGTGTTACCCCAGCAAAAGAGCCATTTTCACAAAAATGTACTTGCCTTGAAAATATAGTGACAATGTATACAGCTTTGGAATATTTTTCAGCTTTCCAAGTGATGAGACTTGCGGCAATTCTTTGCTGTTAAAATGCATGTTAAAAAGCTTCAGAGAAGAAAATATATGAGCAGAATTTCATTACTTCTTAGGTAACGTAGAGAATACTTTGGCTTTATTGGCCAGATTCAAGCGACAAAATCTTTATAGTTAAAAACAGATAATATGAATAATAAAAAGACTAAAGATGGAGTTTTCTTTACAGTTTGCCTTATAACAAAAACTTGCATTGCTCTTCACTGTGAATTACTCATACAATTTAAAGAATAACTGAAGAAAATATTGGTTGACCCTAAAAAGAGAAAAGGAGATCCTTTTGCATAGCTGGTGGCCCCTCTATTTGCTTATACAGTCATCACTGTGGTGTGACCAAATGGGTTATTTGTACGAAAAAGCAACCAGTCCAATTCTTGAATGGATATGTGTTGGCATGTTTTTAAGATACGTAGTAATACTTTCTTTGAGAAGGGTCTGGATTCTTTTTATACCAAGTCTGGGCTCTTTTTATACCAACTCCTGGCAGTCAATTAACTTGTACCAAGCAAAACTTCTGTATTTGCTACTGGACCTGCGTATCTGCTTTTATACATAAATAACATCTGCTAGGAAAATAATGTTATTTTCTTACAATGTTAGAAAACCAAAGGTAATGCTTATTTTCATGGTGTACAGGAAGTCTATCATGTTGAGAAGTAAATTATTGATTATCTTTTTGTGTAAAAAACATTTGCTGTAAGAGGTGTTATTTTTGAAAATGTTTGTATTTAGTTATTAATTTGGAATAATTTTAATTTTTAGTGAAATTATGTTAATATTTCTCTTGTAATAAATTATTCATGGATTATGTACTAAATGATCTGTGTTTTTTAAACAAGGGATAAAAAGGAGTGTAATTCATATTTCTGGTAAGCGTTTAAACGCTGTCTAATAGATCCAAAGTGAATAATCTTGGTTTTAGCAGCTGGTGCTATGTACACATAAGTGGATTCTCAGTGAAGAAGGTCTGGCTGATATCCTTGCAGTTCATGTGCATCTGACCTGATCATGTTCTTCTTTTAGTAGTTTTGACTTTTTTACTAGTTTTTGTGGTAGGAAAGAAAATTTTCTACTCCCCTAGAAAAGCCACCTGTGCAACTACTATATATTCCCCTTGAGCTAAAAAGTCTGTAATGTTATGATGGAACTGGAGGGAAGAGTATGGGAAGATCAAGAGGTTTTAGCTTCTGTTACAGAATTACCCAATTTGTCCAGATGTGTTATTTTTACCCTGGTGTTCTGTACAAAGCATCAGCAAGGAACATTTAATGCTGATGATTAGTAATCAAAAGACATGGATTTTGAGGGACAAAAATAATGGGCAAGTGAAAATGCCTTCCCTTCTAAACTAGGGAAGAAAACCCAAAGCTGATGTATTAGGGATCTCTTTCTCATGGCCAGTCTCAGTGGAGAGTACTTCAGTGAGTTGTCAGGTTTTCCAGGCAGTGAAATGAAGGATGTTATCTAAAGTAATTTGAAGTGTTGTGGAAGTCGGGGGAATGGTTAAGAACTAGGACAAAGAAAACTTCAGAGGCAATACATTGCTAACCAAATTACGGCTTTTAAATGCTGATACAAAACAAATCTTGGCAGCTGCTCGTTACTGCCGTAACAGGACAAATTAATGGGCAATTAAATTCATTACATAGCTGTGCTGATTAAATGTAGGTAGGTCAAGAAGACTTGGATAGGTTAAATAATCTGCAGGGAATTTGGAAGGAAGTACATAGGTTATTAGTTTCTATAGAAACCTGTTCTATGATCTTCCTTTACCTGCCTTCCCGGCCACGCTTAAAACAGCCATGCTATAAAAAACTTTCTTCCCAAAGAGTACTGATTCAAAACTTCAACGTCTTTACTCATCACGGTGCATCCTGGAACTATATGGGGAATTATATACTCCTAGCAAATGCCATTGTCTTACTGTTTAAATTCCAGCAAAACAAACTGACAAGTGTGTTAGAAAATACTCCTTTAGCAGAGCGGGTTTCCCGTGGCTGACTCCTTTCTGGCAGATTTTAAAGTGGTGCCGAGGTTCAGAACAGGACGGGGAGGCTGAGCGGGAGCCAGGCTGGTGGTGCGTGAGGGAGGAGCGGCGCTTGGTGATGGTGTGCCTGCCAGGCCTCCCTGTTTGTGAAACTTTGTAGAGTGGGTAAAAAATGTTGGTCTGAAAACCAAATGGCACTGGAGATAAATGTCACCAGACACATACATACAAGTAATTGATCTCCGTTGCTCGTCAGGAATGCTTTTGACGAGGGAAGTAATTTCATTCTCTGAAAATACATTCCAGTTTGTCAACAATGCAGCTTTTTTATAGAAAAGAGATATATCCTAGGCAGCTGGTGCACAGAGGCTGGGAATTCTGCCTTTTTTTCCATAATACTGACTTGCTGCAAGTTTTCTGATGTTTGATCAGGAAACATCAGCTGAATTTTTATAAATGCTGGGCACTCACACAGCCTTTGACTAGACATTCGCTGTATGAGAGAGGTATAGTGTCTCCTTCTAACCTTTACTGCTCTTCCAGGTCTCTCTTTTACCACACAAAGGTTTTTTAAAAAAGCAGCTAACAGACATCGGTTTGCCCACGTATGCCTCTTTATGTTCAGTGACATAGGTGGCACTCACTGTTCACCTGTATAAGTACTTTCATTTTTGCCTATTTGAATATGGTTAGAGTTTGGGCTAAGCTCAGAGACACCGTGAGGACTAAGGTGGCCTACTTAATCCTTATTTATGGGTGTAGCTGTTCTGGTAAGTAAATACACTGTA